CCATCTCGTTCAACCTTTGTTTAATCTATCAATCTATCTATCCATATTGTTCAATCTATCTATGTGTGGTTCAATCTAACTATTGTTCTATCGTTCAATCCATTTATCTAACATTCAATCTATCATTCAATCTATCATTTTGTTCCATCTTGCTATCTATCTATCCATGTATGTCTGTCTGTCTATCATTCAATCCATCTATCATTCAATCCATTCATCTATCTATCATTCAATTGATCTACTTTAATCCATTCATCATCTATCGTTCAAACCATCTATCCCTAAATCCATCTATCTATTCATCTATTGTTCAACGTTCTGTCTATCCAGCATATTGTTTCATCTTTCTATCGTTTTTTTTATTAATTATAACCATTCAGCTGCCGTTCATTTGTTCAAGGTTTTTTCATTAGTTTCTATCCATCCATCTATCTATCATCTAAAACATAGGTTATTTCTGTTCATCTATCTTCATTCATGTTTATCTTTGTTAATCTCTCTATTATTTGCTTGTTCATTCGTTTTTTTTAATAATTTGTAGTTTCTGTTCATCTGCATTTTTTGTTCGTTTGTTTATTCCTATATCTGTCTGTCAGTGTTTATCTGTCAATAACATCTATCTAACTATCTATCTATCTATCTATATCAATCAATCTATCTATCTATATCAATCAATCTATCTATCTATATCAATTAATCAATCAATCAATCTCTATCTATCTATCTATCTATCTATCTATCTATCTATCTATCTATCTATCTATCTATATCAATCAATCAATCAATCTCTATCTATCTATCTATCTATCTATCTATCTATCTATCTATCTATCTATCTATCTATCTATCTATCTATCTATCTATCTTTCTATCTATCTATCTATCTATCTATCTATCTATCTATCTATCTATCTATCATCAGGCATCTTCAGGGTGTAATTTCCCCATGAGCTGAGAAGGGAATTGGATTTTCTCTCTGAGCCTGAACGTTTTGAATGAGCACATCTGAAGGCTGTTTTTTAAAGCCACAAATCCCCATTATTCAGGTTTTTCCTTGTTTGTTATACTAATCGGCTCCCTTCATATATTTACTGAATACTGCCAGTCTGCCGTTTTTTCCAAACCTGCTATTCTTTGATTGTGTGACGAAGCAAATCCTAAAAGGCTTTGACAGGGATGAGGAGCCCGAGACACAATGAGGGCCTACAAAGGGATAAAGCCGCTCTCTGATCGCCCTCTTTTAATTTAACTGCTGTGTAAATAAGACTGAAGGAGGACGTTCGGCTACATTGATCTTTTGTTTGTATGCAGATTCAGTAGAAATCGACACGGTGACGTTTGTGTTGGGTTTTTATAAATGTGATGATCAAAGGGTGTTTTACCACTTCTGAACAGACTTGGGAATCGGGAATATCATACCACCTGGAGAGCTGTCAAACTACATTTGATCCAGGATCAGTATGGTTTATAAATGCCCTGCTATACTTCAAGTCAATATCAAGAACTAACTTTTCTAAAATGCTGAGTATGGAAGGCCGTTAGGGCCAAAACGTACGGAACTAACGTCAACATTTTAATAATAAAATCAGCATAAAACAGGTGCTGCAACAATCAGAAAACAGAATATTAAATGGAGAAAAGTGGGTGTGGCTTATTTTTGAGCTGATTGGATTAATAAAATATGCATCTGGAAAAGTGTTTCAAGAGTTGTTGCAACCTAACAGACACCTCCTGCTAACCTTTTCAATTTGTAGTCATAGTGGTCAAAACTGACAGTTGAAGGGGCGTGGTTAAGTATGTTAGCCAAGCCCAATACCTCGTAGCCACGCCCAATACAGACGTAATTTGGTTATTTATCTGAAAACACAGATCAATTAAAGATTACAAAGGGAAACTTTTTTAAATGACACTGATTAATTGATAGCCACAAAACTAGCAATGTGAACTAACAAAATCAAAATGGTTAGTTTTGATTTCTTGTCTACTTTAAATGATAGTGCTTAAAGAAATAAGACCAGTTTTTAAAAAAACATGTCAACACGTAAATTGCATGGTAACACGTAAATTACGTTTAAACGTGAAAGTTCCATACGTTTTGACCCCAATGCCCTTCCATATGCTAATTCTCTCTGTTCCATATTCCACACTCTCCAGTTTGTTTATGTTGGCTGGAAGTAAACACACGCCAAAGAGGGTGGACTTCCAGAACACACCCACTGATTATGTAAACTCAACGGACCAATAGTAGTTTAAAAATGTTTTAGAGGTAAAACGCAATCCCCCAAAAGTTTGCTTTGGTGAGCGGTTTCAAACTGCCAAAACTATTTCTTTTTTTAAACTTCGTTTTGATCGGATTTTGTTCTTAATGACGTAATCTAAACTCATTTCGTTTGAAGTATACTGGGGCCTTTTGAATTGCGAGGTCAGTGGCTGAAAGACAGCAATTGAAAGCACATGAACCCCCGACACACACTGACAGATTTTTTTAGCCCTGTAAAGCCTATAAAATAATTATAGTAAGATTAAATAAATTTTAATTAAACAGTATATTGTTTAACCTTTACAAATTATTTGGTGAGTATTTGATAAGTTCAAATCCCAAGGCTTCAATTGATCAAATAGCATGTTGAAGGAGAACATGAAGCTTCCTACTCAAAATAAAAAAAACAAGACCACAAACTGAGCCAGCATTTACAGTTCAGTTGTTGTTGTTTTGATTTAAATGGCCTTTAATGGTATTCTGATTTTAATGCAATTCAGGAAGTTGTTTATACTCCTCATTCAATCAAGACATTTACAAAACTATGAAAAAGGGACTATTTGTAATGCATTTCTACCATTGTTACACAATTTTGAGTATTTAGGCCTTGAAAATGTTGAATTTTGTAAATGTACATTTTATTAGAGTAGTTCATTGCCTAAACACACTTATTAAGATAATATTTTCAAGTTTTATGATCTAAGCTTTGTTGTTTCTATTGTGAGGGGAAAACTAATGCAATGCTGACTAAGAGATAAACAAAATAAAAATGACTTGTGTACCTTAAATTAAAACCCAAGCTGTGTCTGTCCAGCAAATTGTATTTTTTTTTTAAATATCAGTTTCATACAAAAATTATTATTTCATGTATTTTACGTTATGTCTGACTATATATTACTTAACCTGGAATGAATGACAATCTGGTGTACAAATTCATTTCAGCAAACTGAGTCAATTACTATTGTAAAAAATGCATAATGTGATCAGGAACATTTGATCCTGTTACTAATTGTGGTTTAAACATGGTTTAACCACCAACAAATTTGGCAATAGCAGAGTTGACATGCCTCAATGGCTTCCAAAATTTCCCAGCAAAAGAAGAAGTGACATCAAGTCAAATGCTTTTTCTAGCAGTTCTTTAAAGATTGTGATGATGTTTTGGAGTTGACCAGAATGTAGGGACAGACAAAACATTCATTTGAAAACGAAACTACAAGTAATAGAGCAAACAGATGTTTCATGTAAAAGAGTAACTTCGTAAACGCACAAAAATTTGAATTATTTCAGAATAATTTAAGCTGAATGTATGATTTTTCTAACACAAGTGGGTAAATGTGTCTTGGTGTACACTTCTGACAAGCCAAAAATATGTGGTATATATCCCAAACTAAGCTGCGGTAGAAACACACTGCCATGATGGCTTTTCTCTTCTATCTTGCTTTTGAAAACACTCTGGGTTGGGTTTAGTGAAGGGGGTTTGCAGGTCAGGCGATATCAAGCTGATATTCCCGGAGGGGGGGGGGGGGGGGTACACAGCACCCTCTGGTGGATTTAAGAGATGTGGCATGTATGAGAAAACGTGCTCCAGTAATGTATTCGAGACTGTTAAAAATGTGCACGGCACCTTCTAGGGCAGGGGTGTCCAAACTCCTGTCCTGCAGATTTGCTCCAACTTGCCTCAACACACATGCAAGGATGTTTCAAGACAGCCTCGTAAGAGCTTGATTAGCCAGCCTAGGTGTGTCTGATTGGGGTTGGAACTAAACTTTGCAGGACACCAGCCCTCCAGGACCGGGCTTAAACACGCCTGCTCTAGTGGTGTTGTGAAATCAAAAACTGCAAGACACCGTTGTCCAGGCCAGTGGTCTTCACCCTTTTTCTCACAGTCAACGCTTAATAGTTTTACCGTGAACCAGGGTGGGGGGGTTGCTAGGCACACATTGCTAGGAGAAGATGACAAGCTGACAAGTGCAGTGTTTGGATGTTCTGTGTTCGTCTGAGGCAATTGGTCTACCGAAATCTATATATTCCATACAAGCCGAAGCCGATCGGTCAGTTCTTTTTTTTACGTTCTTGCTGCTTGTGGGTTAAATATGGGCGCTCAAATAACCGAGTAATAAAATAAAATATAAATAAAATAATAGATTTTTCAAAATAAAAGACAGTTCAGACTCGGATAATAAATAAAATAGAAACAATTAATGATTTCTTGTGCGGCCCGGTACCAGTTGGTCCACAGCTCGGTGGTTGAAGACCACTAGTCCAGGGTACATATTTGTCGGTTCTCAAAAATGTAGGGTACATATTTTTCAATGAGCCTGGTTAGATTTTTTAGTCAAAGTACTATTTTCAAGACAAAATATCCCTAAATTTGAATATAATCATTATATGTATTGATAACTTGATATAATTTATATAATTTTACCCTTTTAGGAGACAAAATTTACCAGCAATTCTAGTATCAGACAGAAAACAGACAGATACTACCTAAAATCCTACACAATATTGCCTCAAAAAATAAGTTGTGGTTATGTTGAGGACTAAAAGGCTTTATAGGGTTAACACGGGCCAGTCCTCCGCTGATTAGATTTTCATCGGGGTTTAAGGGTCAACACTTCATCCGCTTTGTAGTCTGTGTGGATTAATTATTTCATCGCCACTCCTGTTTGTTTGCACTTTACCCATAATCCTCCTAAAACGATTGTTGCTTTCACCGAATCAAAGTCGTAAACATACATCGTTGGAGGGGATTTCAATCTTTTATTCACACACACTCATCGCAACAGGTTCTCCTCAGCAGGCTACAATAAATAGCTTTTTATTCCAGACGCTAGTTGGATCGTTATTCTTTATTTATTTATTTTTTTTCAAATTTAGCATTGGAATACAAACGGACAGGCAGACAAATATAACCAGATTCCAGGCTGGCATAAACCCCAAAAGAGAAGGAAAGAAGGCTGTGATGATGCATGTACTAGGAAACGGCATCGCACATGCACATTAACTGATGATGGTGCTGCGATGGGGGAATTCAAACATAATGATTCAATCATTATCGTCTAAACCTGTGATTCCCAATCATTGGCACACCAACAGTACATATTTTGGTTGTCTCCCTTATCTGACGCATTAAGGTTTTCGGGTCTCTTCTAATGTTCAGATGAGTTGATATAGGCGTGTTTGATTAGGAAGAGGTTAAAAATAAGTACTATTGGTGTGCCTTTAGGAACAGGGTTGGGAAACTGATATCGCACATGCGCATTAACTGATTATGGTACTGCAAGGGTGAATTAAAATATAATGATTCAATCATTATAGTCTAAACAAGCGTTTCCCAAGCATGTTCCTAAAGGCACACCAACAGCACATATTGTTGATGCTCCTTTATATGACCCATTTATTTGAGGTTTTGGAGTCTCTTCTTATGTCCTGATGAGTTGATTCAGGTGTGTTTAATTCAAGAGGTTGAAAATGAGTACTGTTGGTGTGCCTTCAGGAACAGGGTTGGGAAAATGGTATCGCACATGCACATTAACTGATAATAGTGCTGTGATGGGGAATTCAAATATGATTCAATCATTATCGTCTAAACAAGTGTTTCCCAAGCAGTTCCTAAAGGCACACCACCATCAGTACAAATTTTGGATGTCTCCTTTATCTGACCCATTCACTTCAGGTTTTGGAGTCTCTTCCAATGTTCTGATGAGTTGATTCAGGTGTGTTTGATTAGTGAGAGGTTGAAAATGAGTACTGTTGGTGTGCCTTCAGGAACAGGGTTGGGAAAATGGTATCGCACATGCACACTAACTGATGATGGTACTGTGATGGGGGAATTCAAACATAACGGTTCAATCATCATCATCAAAACCAGTGTTTCCCAAGCATGTTCCTAAAGGCACAATAACAGCACATATTCAGGTGTGTTTGTTTGATTAGGGAGAGATTGAAAAGGAGTACTGTTGGTGTGCCTTCAGGAACAGGGTTGGGAAAATGGTATGGCACATGCACATTAACTTATAATGGTGTTGCGATGAGGGAATTCAAATATGATTCAATCGTTATCATCTAAACAAGTGTTTCCCAAGCATGTTGCTGAAGGCACACCACCAACAGTACAGATTTTGGATGTTTACCTCATCTGACCCACTCATTTCAGGTTTTGGAGGCTCTTCTAATGTTCTGATGAGTTGATTCAGGTGTGTTTGATTAGTGAGAGGTTGAAAATGAGTACTGTTGGTGTGCCTTCAGGAACAGGGTTGGGAACATGGTATCGCACATGCACATTAACTGATGATGGTACTGTGATGGGGGAATTCAAACATAACGGTTCAATCATCATCATCTAAACCAGTGTTTCCCAAGCATGTTGCTGAAGGCACACCACCAACAGTACAGATTTTGGATGTTTACTTCATCTGACCCACTCATTTCAGGTTTTGGAGGCTCTTCTAATGTTCTGATGAGTTGATTCAGGTGTGTTTGATTAGAGAGAGGTTGAAAATGAGCAGCGTTGGTGTGCCTTTAGACGCACGGTTGGAAAACTGGTATCGCACATTAACTGATGATGGCGCTGCGAGGGGGAAATTCAAATGTAATAATTCTATCGTTATCATCTAAACCGGTGTTTCCCAACACTGTTGCTGAAAGCACACCACCAACAGTACATAGTTTGGATGTCTCCCTTTTCAGACCCGTGAACTTCAGGTTTTATTGACTTTTCTAATGTTCTGATGAGTTGATTTAGGTGTGTTTGACTGGGGAGAGGTTGAAAATGTACTGTTGGTGTGCCTTTAGGAACAGGGTTGGGAAATTGGTATCGCACATGCACATTAACTGATGATGGTACTGTGATGTGGGAAATTTAAATATAATAATTCAATCATTAATATCTAAACCAGCGTTTCCCAAGCATGTTCCTAAAGGCACACCAACAGCACATATTTTGGATGTCTCCCTTATCTGACCCATTAAGGTCAGGTTTTGGAGTCTCTTTAAATGTTCTGATGAGTAAATAAGGTGTGTTTAATTAGGAAGAGGTTGAAAGGGAGTACTGTTGGTGTGCCTTTAGGAACAGGGTTGGGAGACTGGTATAAACTGAGGGCGAAATCAGATCTCTAGTCGTGTAAATGCTGGAATTCAGCACTAGAGTCTTCGGCTTATGCTGGCATGCAAAAACATGGTTCCGTTTTTGTTTTAAAATCATGTCCTGAAAACTCAAACTTCCAGGCGTCAATCACACAGCCGTGTCCACAAAAAAAGCCTCATCATCCTTGCCATGCGAGGACATATTGCACAAAATTACTGTCATTTTATCACTCCAACTTCGTCATAACTAATAAAAGTAAAATCACGATAACGCATCCAAATTTAAAAGATCCCATTTAGGAAATGGCCTCGATTTAGAAATACACCCCTTGCCTCGTTTTACCGTGGTCTCCGTTAAAATACAAAAAAGAAAGCTGTGAGGACATTAGCGCTATACGTTTACATGTACATTTAATTCCAGACAATACTTTTTTTGAAATCAAAGACCGGGCATAGAAAACAGGACTGTTAGTTAAGACAGAGCGCACTGCGATAGAGAAAACAAAGGTTACTCTCTTCCCAGTGCTTCTGCGGTCGTCTGAAAGTAAAAGGAGAGTCTTTAGAGAGAAATTTTGTTCAAATACTGTCAGTGAGTGTCTACAGTGGTCTGGGGAGAGATGGGGAGGTCCTGGTCTTCATCTCTCTCTCTTTCTCTCTCACTCTCTCTCTATCACTCAGAAAGACGGAGCGCTTCCCATCAGCAGTGAGGTGTCCTGTTTGATGCAGCAGTCCCAACACAGTCCTTCAGTATGATCCATAGCGATCCTGAAACACAGGCCGAGGGTTAGCACACACAAAATGATTCAAAAATAGTGTTATTAATTAGTTTGTGTTCTGAAGATGAACGAAAGCGAGGTATTTTAGATGAAATCCTGGAGCTCTCATTGTATATAGACCAGAAATGGAACCAAACAGTCATGTCAAACAAAAACGTTATACTGTGTGTCAAATAAAAAACCTTGCAGGACAACGTATTTCCATTAGTGTCAGCAGCAGACATATGTTGAGTCCCAATTTGCATAATATTCCTCCTAAATAGTAATCAAATATAGAATTAGTGTGTCCCAACACATAGTGTTGAAAAGAGGTTCCCAGATGGTCTACCGTTTCCATTAAAAATTCGAAGTGTAGAAGCGTCCGTACTCCAACCGCTAATATTGCCCACAATACATTGTGTGTTGGATGTGAATTTGATTAGAACTACAAACTCGGGGGAAAAAAGTGTCAATAAACTACAAAACATGGCAGATCCGCGAGACCAACCGTTAAGTAAAGAGGCTTCAGTAAAGTTGTTTGAATGACTATTAAATCAAATCTAGCCAGCTAGAAAGTATTTAGATTGTGTTTTCTGTGTTATATTTCATCTGTGCTGTCTTTTGCTCTGTCATCACATTCAGTTTTCTTCTACACTAGCTGCTGAACTGAACATCCAATCAGAGTCTTTCTCTCACCGATGCTGACTTATTAAGCCCAGTGAGGCTTCGATTTGTCAGGGTTTACCGCTGGTAGACTGTAAAGAATGAAGTGAGTTGTGAACGTTCACCTGAATGGTGTTCATGACCCCATTAGCCAGCACTGCCATCTTCCCTGCTACGGTCTTCACACCCTGCTTGAACTGAGCGATGTCTGGACCAGAGGGAAGGACGCTGTCAAACCCTGTTGAGCCTACAGAAGCACACAAAACGCATTAACTTCAGAAACAGAACTCAGAATCAAACTTAAACACCTTGGCTATAGAACATTTATACAGACAGACACAATACAGCCACCTGAAAAGATTTGGGCCTATTTTCTAATATAATTTGCAAACAAAATAGCTAAAAATGCTGTTTACCAGAGGGACGAACACTGCCATCACCGAACAGGTCAGCAGAACTGATGGAGGTGCTTCCAGACATACCCTCCAGACGAGTCTTTGCTTCATACTGGAGAGAAATATGGAAAAGTACCTCATAATTATTCATTCATTTTCTTTTTGGCTTAGTCCCTTTAATAATCAGGGGTTGCCACAGCGGAATGAATCGCCAACTTATCCACACAGAAATGCCAACTGACCCAGCTGAGGCTCGTACCAGCGACCTTCTTGCTGTGAGGCGACAGCGCTATCCACTGCGCCACCGCACCGACACTAATAATTATTCTTAAGAAAATACATGATACTGCTGCAAATAAATCACCAATTTGTGGACTGTTATAAAGTTTAGATTTGATTCAAAAAATAAATCTATTATTCAGCAGCCGAGATGCATGAAGACAGTTTGCAACCTCTTACCTTTAAGAGGTAGAGGGTGAATATTTTGACTTTAATATAAACAGTATCACATGATTGGATTTGACAAAACTGTCAACTGTTTTTCCCTGTTGGTTTAAAGGCTCCTACACACCGGGACGCTTTTCGTTTGCGTTTTTCGTCAGCGTTTTACGAGACAATTTTCAGTATTCAAACCCAAGTGCTTTTCACTGCCGTCAAGCTGAAGAGTATGCAAAAATCACTCTTTTTGACGTTAGATTGAGCTACACAACTTTAAGCTTCTGACACCCGCTTATAACACAGAATAAGAGGAGGAGAGGAAATTTACACAATTGTTGACAAAGTTACTGGTGACTTGAACAAGCATGGATTATTCAAGCAACAGCTCTAGCGATAAAGAAATGATTAGTGTTCACAAGAGCAATCAGCAGCTCCACGTTCATATCGCCTCTGGGTGTCGTCTTCACTGTGCGCTCGCATTGACAGTTTTGCGCTTAAGCACCTCCAAGTGCTGTTAACTGTAACTTCAGCAGCTCGGTGAACGTGAACAAAAGTGCCGATCTGATTGTGGAGAAGGTTTTGACGGCGCGCACCAAACAAAAAAACGAGCATGAGGCGTTTTTTTTTTAAATGACGCTTTTGCGCCTGGCGTTTTGCGCGTTGGTGTGCACGATCACATTGACGCCCGTTATTTAGTCACGAGGCATTAAACGTTGACGAAAAACGTGAGCAAAAAACATCTCGGTGTGCACGGGCCTTAAGGCTGATTTATACTTCTGCATCAAGTGCACGTGTATGCTCTGTCGCAGCCTGCTGACGTGCATCTCTTTCAAAAAAATTTAACTACACATGGCAATGATGCATATCGCAAGCTCTGTGATTGGTCGGCTTGGTAGCAGTGACGAGTGTGGGCGGTGCTGAGAGCCAAAAGCCAGATGGAGGGATTGCTTACAAGTGTCGAGTCCCGTAATGGAGCTCCAGATGGAAACGTTTGTTTTGTGTTTACCTTATGGCTGATTTATACTTCTGCGTCAAGCGTATGCTACGGCGCAGCCTGCGCATGGACGGATAGCCCTCGCTGAAGCGCACCTCTCAAAAAAACGCAACTACACGTTGCAATAACGTGTAGCGCAAGCTCTGTGATTGGTAGCGCTGACAAGTGTGGGCGGGACCGAGAGCCGCACGAGCCCGATGGAGCGATTGTTTACAAGTGTGGAGTCCCGTGAAGAATAGATTCAAAAAATCAAAGTCGGGGAATATGTTGTAAGATGGAGACAAGATGAATAAAATATCACATTTAACAAGATCCAGCGGATACAGATCCTTGATGGACAGTCCAACGAGCACAGCTCTCATCTGGGTGGATATGCTGCAGTGCATGCCAGAGAGAGAGAGTGTGTGTGTGTGTGTGTGTGTGTGTGTGTGTGTGTGTGTGTGTGGTCACATGATGTGCGTTTTCAGTGATGTGACAGAGTTGTTCAGAAATGCTAGGTGTGGACGCGGATCATTTTCATTTCATTCACACGCCATTTTAAAACTATAACGTACTAGTGTAAATGGGGCCTATGTATATTAAATGTTTTTGAGCAACAAATAAATAATCAGCATATTAAAATTACTTTTAAAGAAAAGAATTTGGGGAAAAAACAGCATTTTATTGGCTGCTTAAAGAGAGAAATTACAGTTATTTTAAATAGAAATTTTTTAAAATATTACTGTTTATCTGCATTTTTGCTTGGCCTTGGTGAGCATACGAAATAACTTTAAGAAACAAACTTCTACTGTATATAAAGAACATATAATAAAGGGTTAAGGAAGAAGTCAAATGTAAATAAGTACAGAAAAAGGGGGTTATGAAGTAAAGTAGTGGTTCTCCTTGTACCTCTGGGTTGCTCTCACGGCCGAAGAACATGTCTGATGAGATGGCTTTAGCATTCGCAAACTTCTGGCGCGCTTCGCTAGACTCTGAGACCGGCACAGAAACCTCCGGCTTCCGTCTGCTGGGCAACCTGAGATAAGACGAGAGTCCAGAATCACAAAAACCAGACACTAATCAAAACCAAACCCACTGACTGCCGGATGAGGACGTTACCTTTCTCCGATTGGCTGGATGCTTGAGATGGTGACCTCGCTGTCTTTAGGCTCCTCCTTCTCCAGAGCCCAGGAGGAGAACGACGACCCGCCATCATTGTCCCACCGTGACCCAAAGCTGTCTCCTGATGTGAAAGGGTTGTCCTTGTACCTGAAAACACAGTTACAAGTTACTAGTGTTGTCAAGATACTAGAAATTGTATGATATAAGGAAACTGCAACATTTGTGCATGTCTTTTTTTCCCTCCATTTACCAGTGTCACAACCTCATGTCTCAGTCAGGCCAAAATTAAACAAACCTATTTCAATTTTTTTTTTTACTTTCACTGATAACAACTGAAAAATACACTAAACTCCGGCCGAAAAAAAATGCTTCACTGGACATGCGCCCTTAGAAAAGATCATATCATATATATACACACATTTAAAATTATGTCATGTCAGCAACATTTATACATATAAATATACAATTAAAAAAAACACAAACAAATGAATACAAAGGATTTTTACCATTTTACTGAAATTAGGTTTTTACCAATTAATACGTGATAAAAAGCCTTAACAAAAATTCCTTTGCTGAACATCTCGAGTTAGTTAATTTCATAGAAAACCCTTAGAAAAGAATTGACTAGCATAATTTACAGAAATTTAAAACATTAACTATCTTTAGGTAGGCCTAACCATGATTTTGGTTTTGTTGTTGATTAATGTTAAAATGATATCAACAGGTTTAATAAGCTGATGGCCCTTTAACAATTTATTTACTCAACCGTTTATAGCTTTACAATAAATTGCACAAGAACATGAATTTAAAAGAGGAGTTCTTTACAATTTCTTTAAACGTATCAACCCTGAAATGCGCGCACACAGTATTAACTATAAATGAGCACTGTAAAGTTTGGATAAATTATCAAATTAAATAAAATAATATTTAAAATATTTAGGATTTTCTGTAAAACTGATTGCATTACACTGTGTCTTAGGGCATACTCACAATAGATACAGTTGCCTTGAACCGTTCTAAAGTACACTTGTGCCCCCTTCCCTCTTCCCCCGATGGCCTGCACTCACACTGCATTTTACCTTCTGAGCCGGAGCACACTTACTTCATCGATGATGTGACTTTAACAGAAGAGAAGCGTTCTCGCTCAGCACAGTGGACATTGCTTTAGTAATTTCTTTGTGAATTATTTTAAGTCGTTTAATATGCAGTGACGTGCAGTCAAATAATTTGCTGAAGAGATCCACAACTTTTTATGCTCATAAACGATCATGAAAGTCCTCGTGCTGCACGTATTGGGAGGTTTGCTGAAGGTGCAGCAGTCATGCAGCGAGAGGTTTGAGTCTCTAACAAACTGACAGTTCGCATTCATTAAACAGTAGGAATGCCCAATCAAACCACACTTTGGCACACCTCTTCAAACCGGGCCAGGGCCGGCCAACTGAACCGTAATTGGGCCCGATTCAGAGGACTCACACTTGTCAAAAGAACCGAGAAACTTGCCCAGGCATGGTTTGGATAGTCTACTGTAAGAGCACCCTTAAAAACACATGACATGGTGCTGTGACACAATAATAGCGATCTTTTACATTCTAAAAGTAAAAAAATTAATAAATTCTAACTATATCATCGACTGACATTTTCCATTTTTTGAAAAGGTTCCTATTTCTGCACCGTCGCAGCTGAACAACAGCATAAACTACAATGACAAAGATCCCCTCAGGTACTGATTGTGGGCTTTATTCAGTATTAAATGCTACAATTGTGACTTTTAAAACCATTTTACCCGACATTTTTGAAAATCTTGAAAATAAAATAACTAGCAAACACGAATGTTACAACAGTGACCCAGAGCAAACCAACATCGGTCAGAGACGGGCCGATACAGACAGAACTGTCAACCTCGAGAGAGACGCATCTGCCCACACTGTGCCCAGGCAGAGGTAGAGACGGAGGAACACTTCCTGACCCGCTGCACAAACTATCAGCACATACGAGACACATTCTACACCAAACTACAGAGCATTTACCCACAATTCACTGAGTTAGACAATAAAACACAGCTTCAATATTTATTAGGGGAAAAAAATGAGTGTGTCCTTCTAGCGGCCCAATACATTAATGCCTGTCACAAAAAGAGAGAGCAGACCAATAAAAACATCAGTGATGCGCCTGCAAACACGCGCACACACACACACACACCTAGATGATAATAAATCATCTGAATCATTGTAAATATACTGATTATTGTTGTTATTTATTTTTGTATTGATTTGTATGAATAATTAATGTTGAATAATAATATAATAAATATTAATGTGATATATTGAACAATATGATGTATGGTTGATATTTTATTTAATTATTATATATAAATATCTTTTTTTTTTTGCTACTACGAGAGAGAGAGAGAGAGAGAGAGAGAGAGAGAGCAGTAGGTGCTGTTGTCCATTTGTAGGGTAATATGCACAGCTAGTGTTTTTGCCCCTTACTGATAAACTTCTGGTAAACGGTTAATGTGGCTGTTTTCAATTTCCTACGGTTCCTTTTACAGCATTGGTGTTGTAAAATATAATCAGTAAAATAGACTTATGCATTTAGTTCAAGCATAAAATTAGATGAAAAGCCGTTTACATGCACGCGCCATCAGGATCAGCAGGCTAGCGCAGAAACTCCATTGAAAACACTGAGGTAAAATTAATTTTTACATTTTAATGACATGGCACAGAAATATGGGATTTAATGCAGTGCTTCTTGTACATTCTGATATCCTCTTCATATCATAAATCAATGCATTAAAGCAATATTGTATCATATCAAGTATTTCAGCATTGATAGAGTACTGGAAAAGAAAGCCAGTTTCAGACATTGACATACTTTGGTGGTCCGGAAGCAAATCCAGGCTCCTCAAACATATCCAGCTTAGAGCGAGAGGAGGATTTGACTCCCACCGGGGTCTCCTGCTCGATCACCTGCATCTCGGCCATCACCGAATGAGACACGGCACTGCGAAAACCAAGGACAAAGTCAGATCATATAAGCCTCATTAAGCTGGACGCTGCAATAAAAGCAACTAAACTAACAAACAGAGCCTCATCAGTCAGTGTGATGGTGTTCTGGCTTATTAATCTGCTGAAGACACTGATGTCATGCTTGAGAGGAGTGATGTAATTGATGTGACAGTGGTTTAATGGAGGCTGTGTCTTTACCTCCTGTTGCCGAATCCCATGCCCAGCCTCTCCGCCTGCTCCTTCTTCTTCCCCTCCAGATTCTGCATTTTCTTCTCCTCCATCTTGCGGTCGATCTCCAGCTCTTTGTAGGCCAGTCGCATTGAGGCCACTCTGCGAGAGAAGAAGGATCGCAATCAAGAAAAAAAAAAAAGCCCAGCTCTGATTGCACTTTCAGAAGCAGCGTTCTCTTCATACGTATGGCTGACCTTTCACGAGAGAGCGAAATCTTGAACTAGAGAAAGAAAAAAGGCCCAGCAGTGCTAATGGGCTAGATTCTGCATTTGTGGCATCTGGAGACTCACATGGACTCGTCGGCTTGTTTCTTGGCTTCGGCGGCCTGCTCCTCTCTCATTTTCTCTGCCACCTGGGCTTGTTTTTCCACCTCACTGAAACTCTTGCTGCTCACCTTCTGGGCACCAAGACCCTTTTTAGCGCCAAGCTGAAAGCAAATAAAGCAGAAGTTTTTTTTTTTTTTTATAATAAGTGTATTTCCCACTTTATATTAAAGGGCCATGAAACCCCCTCGTTTCAGCAGGGTGTTTTCACACCTCTACTTTGGAAAAAGTCAGAGAAATGGGCGTGTCAAGCTCTGTTTAGGGGGGAGTGTCAGAGAAGCAAAAGAGGGATGATGTGGGCGTGTCGATTTGGGCACGTGCTGAGTTTCAGGGTCAAAACACAGACACACAGACAGACAGGCAGACAGACAGAGACACACAGACAGACAGGCAGGCAGGCAGGCAGGCAGACAGACAGAGACACACAGACAGACAGACACACACAGACAGACAGACACACAGAAAAACACACACACACACACACACACACACACACACACACACACACACACACACAGACAGACAGACAGACAGACACACAGACAGACAGAAACACAGACAGACAGACACACAGAAACACACACACACACACACACACACAGACAGACAGACAGACACACAGACAGACAGAAACACACAGACAGACAGACACACACACACACACACACACACACACACACACACACACACACACACACACACACAGACAGACAGACAGACAGACAGACAGAAACACACACACACATACACAGACAGACAGACACACAGACAGACACACACAGACAAACACACAGACAGACACACACAGACAGACACACACAGACAGACACACACAGACAGACAGACAGACAGACAGACAGACAGACAGACAGACAGACAGACAGACAGACAGACAGACAGACAGACAGACACACACACACACACACACACACAGACACAGACACACACAAGTTTGTTTTTGTGAAAAGTGAGGACATTACATAGGTTTCTATTCATTTTATACTGTCCAAACCACATATTGTATTGCCCTCACCCCACCCCACCCCTAAACCCAACCATCACAGGAGACTGTGTGCAGCTTTACTCTGATTAAACTCATTCTGTAGGATTTATAAGCATTTTGAGAAATGAGGACGTCACCAATGTCCTCATATCTCACCTTCTTTTTGTAATACCCGTGTCATACCCATATCATTACACAGATTTGTGTCCTGATATGTCACAAAAACACGTACACACACACACAAAAACACGTACACACACACACACACACACACACACACACACACACACACACACACACACACTAACACACAAACAAGAAAGTGACTGTGTTTACATGGACATCTGTAATCAAATTATTTGCCAAATTATTAAATGGTGGACTTTAATGGTGGACTTTCTTTAAATGTAATGCAGCCATTTTTTGTACAAATATTATTAGGATTTTGTAGGATCATTTATACATCACTCATTTTTAAAAACTGTTTACATCCAAATAAATCTAAATACATCACCATTTATTTAGACATTATAGTACTGCTACTAAGTCACTACTCAAATGAATTAATGTAAAATAGTCAATCATTTAAGTACATTTCTTTTTTAAACTGATCTCGTTTCACACTTGGTGAGATTGACAACTTCAATGTGTATAGCCCTTTTACTGAAATATTAGCTAAAATAAATCACTAAATAACTGAACGCACAAAATATTTATGCTCAAATTAGTTACACGAGTCTAACTTTTATTGGAAGCTTTAATTCAGTCATGCGCAAGTATTGTCAGCATCTGAATGATTATTGGTTTGCTTCAGCTGGAGGCAGAGACAGTTCTAACCTCTGTATGGTGCAGCAAGTCTGACACCTACTGATAAAAACCCAACAGCGCAGGAGATGGAAACATTTCCCACAACAATGAAAGCAGATTAATTCTGCTCATCGATGTTGTTTTGTTTGATGTTTTATTATTATTATTTTTTTATGTACCTTGCAATGTTGATTGTTCCCCGTTTTGTGGTGTACGAATTTTTTTTTTAATATTTCAAAAATGATGTTTAACAGAGCAAGGAAATTTTCACAGTATGTCTGATAATATTTTTTCTTCTGGAGAAAGCCTTATTTGTTTTATTTCCACTAGAATAAAAGCAGTTTTTATTTTTTTTAAACCATTTTAAGGTCAAAATTATAAGCCCCTTAAGGCTATTTTTGTTTTCAATAGTCTATAGAACAAACCATCATTATACAATAACTTGCCTAAATACTAAGGTTGTCACAATCCTCCAAATCCTCGATTCGATTACATTTTCGATTCTAATGGCACGATTCTATTCAGTTTTCGATTATGAATAATCAATTAATTAATGACCAATTATTTATTTGTAGCCTACCGTTTAAACTACCTGACCTGCATGGTCTTTGTTTTACCCATAAACAAATCATACAGTAAATGAATAAAGGCAAGATACACATATCATTACCACCTGTCAATCACTTTTTCTGCGGTACTCGTGAATAGGCAGTGATCTGTGTCGTTATAATGGCGTCGGTAAAAAAGACGCACAACCAACAGGAACCAGCCAACAGTATCTGAGGTGTTCGCTAAAATGACTAAGTACAAGTGAGTGAAAGATTGAAGCAGTCCTCTGACTGCCTGGACCTGCTCTCTCGAGCGCATGGCTGTGTGTGCGTCTGTGTGGTCACGTGATGTGCATTTTCAGAGGTAGAGAGAAAGGTGTCAAATCGTTGTCGTTCTAAAATGCCATTTAAAAACAAAGACAGTGTAAACAGGGCCTGAGTGTGTACTTTTCGCGAGCGGATTTGCAACGGGGGCGGGCGGAGGATCGCGATGCCGGTGTTGTCTATCGGACGAACCGTACGTAGTACGTACATAGCAGAGCTTGCAAAACTGTGTTTTTTTTGTCGACAACACAAACGTTGTCAGCATAACTCACTGGAAATCCAAAATGCTTCCACACCAGCGACTTCATTGAAAGAGGAGAGGGTTTAAGTTCTGTCGACGCGTCTCCTGCGTCTGCAGTTTAACAAGCACTTCAACAAGCCAGTTTTTTTCCCGCTTGGCAAGCCAAGCTGACGTGACATGGGGGCGTGGCAGCATCGACGATTCTATTTTTTGATTTGATAATCGAAATGGAGCATAAATTTCGATCGATTTCGATTGTGACACTCCTACTAATTACCCTATCATGCCTAAACCTAATTAACCTAGTTAAGCATTTAAATGTCACTTTTTTTATTTAATTTTAAATTTAAAAAAATTATTTAATAAAATATTATTTACTGTCATCATGGCAAAGATAAAATGAATCAGTAATTAGAGATGAGTTATTAAAACTATTGTTTAGAAATGTGTTGAAAAAAATCTGCTCTCAGTTAAACAAAAATGTGGGGAAGAAAATTGTAAAAACTATATTTATTTATTTATATATTTTTATTTTTTTACTGAAAGCAGTGATTGTTCACTTACCCCTTTCTTTGCAGCTACTGGCTTCTTCTTTCCAATGATGGAAGGTTTGACGTCTGAAAAGAGACAGAATAGTTAGAGAAAACTGAACGGGAAACCATTTTCTCCAAGATTATTCTTGAAGAACAACTCGTCCAGACAAGGATCATTAGTGGATGGCGATAGCGGCCAACAAATGGCATGAGAAATATCATGCTGGCAAAGCCAGAGCAAAGGGAAGAGTCACACTTGCACACAATCAATGAGATTAACAGAGTTTACAGTTAACACATCAACACTGGGAACTTTCATGCAGGATTCATAAATCCCATCCTGACCCAATGATCTGCAGATTAAGCCCATCTTTGACTTATTTACTTGGGTAAATGTGTGCGAACACATTTGTTTAGTTTTTATATTAGTTTCAGTAATATTGTTATTGACTAATATGCAAATGTTTATACGATTTTATTACAATACAGGTTGTAAAGTGATATTTTCTGTCAAATAGATATTTTATATAAAAGACTTGCTTTGTTAAACAAACAAATGAATCTAAATGCACTGTAAACCTTAGAAAGATAAAAATACATGTAAAAAATGTTTTCATGTTTCAAAATCATTCAAGTGGTACTCACTGCAGACACACTTGGGCAGAGCTGAGCTCCAGCAAGGGGGCAAGGGGCTCCTTCCTTGCACTTCTTCTACAAGTGATGTCACTGGGGTTGGGGTTAGGGCTAGGGTGGGTGAACGCATTAAAACAGCTTATAGGAGTTGGAGCTCAAGCTCCCCCTCATTGGAGCCCAAGTAGCTCTGCAGCAAGCAGTGTTTTTTTTTTTTTTCTTTAATTTTTAGAAAAATTCTGTGCAGAAATAGGAAAAATGTCTCCAGACTGTCTGCCGAGTGACTTTACATATCAACTAGTGAAAGGTGGGTAAGATATGCAACCATTAAACTGTAGTCTTAAATGGTTAGTTTGATCCAGCAATGAAATATGTCATCATTTATTCCAAAGCTTGGAAGGTAAACTAAGTAATATATATATATATATATATATATATATATATATACATACACACACATACACACACATTAGGGCTGCTAGATTATGGGAAAAATCATAATCACGATTATTTTGGTCATAATTGTAATCACGATTATTCAAAACGATTATCGGTTGAAGTCAAAATTATTGTCCTCCTGTGAATGAATTTTTTTATATAAATATTTCCCAAATTATGTTTAACAGTTTTTTTTTACAGTATTTCCTATAATATATTTTCTTCTGGAGAAAGGCTTATTTGTTTTATTTCAGCTAGAATAAAAGCAGGTTTGAATATTTTGAAACCTATTTTAATAGCTTGATATTATTAGCCCCTTTAAGCAATATATATGTTTGATTGTCTGCTGAAGAAACTACTGTTATGCAATGACTTGCCTATTTATCCTAATTAAGGCTTTGAATGTCACTTTAAGCTAAATACTAGTATCTTGAAAAACATCTAGTAAAATATAATGTACTGTCATCATAGCAAAGATAAAAGAAATCAGTTATTAGAAATGAGTTATTAAATCTGTTATGTTCAAACTGTATTTTTGATTTTATTATTGATTAATAATAAAAACAGTCGGCAGCAGCAGGAATATCGCACGCTGTCACTTTAAGAATAGTGCGGCTCTGATATGGTTTCTCTTTCACGTGTCTTTTGATTCTCAACTTCTTAGTTTATTATACAAATGAGGGTTAATATGAATAATCACTAAACACCGTGCTCTGACACAAATGTGCATGTATTTGACCATTAAATCGCTCACATTAAGATGGC